GGCTCCAAACAATATGAATGTATTTAACACTGTAGAACTACACAATTAAAAATGCTAAATTTTAACCACTTAAAATGTGAAAGATTTGACATGAAGTGGAATTATTTCCAAGATACTTCAGTAAGGAGGGGAATACCCAAGAGTATAGTATGTTATCTTTTGTGTAAACAAAAAGTGAAACAAACATTCATCTATCTGCTTATCAAAAAAGAAACATGATTAAAAAAACAGTATAAGCCAGAAAAAATTAATCATGACAAAGATGAGAGAAAATGTAGAATGGGTAGAGAAGGGAATGTATACTCTTTGCAATGGTTCTGACTTTTGCTTTTTTCTTTTTTCTTTGTTGTTGTTGTTGTTATTAAGATTTTTTTTGGTACTGGGGATCAAACTCAGGTCCTTATGCTTGCTAGGCAGGCAGCAGAGCCACTCAGCTAAATCCAAGGTCTGATTGTTTTGGTTTTTTGGTAGGGTTGCCTTGCACATGCTAGGCAAGCACTCTACTACTGACCTCCACCCTCAGGCCCTGTTTTGACTTTTGAAAGCATACTAATATTTTACATATTCCAAAATTAAAATCAATCAAAATAGGGAGAAACATAAAAACTTCAAAAAAAATCAAGCAAACACAGCCACGCATGCTAGCTCAGACCTGTAATTCCAAGGAGGACAAAGCAGGAGGAATCTTTATGAGACATGGTAGGGTGTCACTACAAAGTTCATGTTGAGAGGCCAGGGATTTCACTCTGTGGCCCCATGCCGGCCTCCCAAGTGCAAAGACCTGAGTTCAATTCCCAGTACCCCCAAAAAAGTTCATGTTGACCTTGAACTCACAATGTACCCAGGGTGGCCTCATATTCATGGCAATCCTCTTGCCTAAGCTAAATGCTGGATTACAGACATGTGCCATCACACCAGCATGGCAGGAAGATTTCAAGTTGGAGGCCAGTCTGGCAACTCAGCCTATCTCGAAATACTTTAAAAGAGGCTGTATATGTAGCTTAGTTCTCGAGTATTTGCTTAGCATGTGAAAGGCCTTGGGTTCAACATCTAGTACCACTAAATCAACATACAAACAAACCTAATTTTATATATATATATTTTTCCCCCCCCTGGTACCGGGAATTGAACTCCAGAGTCCTTGTACTTGCAAGGTAGGTGCCGGAACCACTGAGCTAAATCCCTGGCCCTATAATTCTTAATAATAATTAGATTATATAAAAAGTAATGTGGAAAGCAAAAATGGAGAAGAGAAAGAAAAGGAAAGAATAGAAGGATGAAGAAAAAACAATACAATCCAAGTAATATAACAGCTAAATTTAAAATATTCTCTTCTTGGGCAGAACTGGGCAAAGGGCTGTTAACAAATTCTCCTCATTTTAAGTGTCCTTATTACAGTAAAATGGGCAATACAATTCTAAAATTACCTCAAATGTATTATAGAACTGAGTAAACACATTGATAATTTTAAAGACCAAAATTCTCAAAGAATAAGGGACATAAAAATATGACATTCAGAATATTCAGAAACAAAGAATCACAGAGATGAGCATAAATGTGTCATATACATATATATATATATATATAAATAAATTATACACACAATTTATTTCCCAGCTTTATCTACTAAAAGGGTAAAAAAGAAAGCTGGCTATGTAAGTAACTAAGTAGTACTGTACTTGTCTAGTTTGTATGAGGCCCTGCATTCAATCTCTAGTACCATCAAACAAAAACAAAACACCCTAAACTGAAAGGGTCAATGAGGACACTATCTTTTTGTAACTATTATGGGGGAGGGCATTTGCAAATAAGAAACATAACGAATATATTTTGATATGAATTTTAATAACATCTGTATTATCTCCCACATACAGCTTACTGCAGCATGTGTATTAGTTGCTTTTCTCTCACTGCGAAGACAAAATACCCAGAACTAAAAGTTAACAGGGGAAGGGCTTATTTGGCTTATAGTTTGCAGAGGTTTCAGTCTATAACTGGCTGGCTCCAAGGCAAGGAGGGCAAATAGGCATCACAGAGGAGAAACAACATAGCTTACACAAGTTACCAAAGGCAGCAAGGGAAACTAATGGCCTCTTTCTGACCCTTTTATCTTATTTAGACTACTTAGGGTGGGTATCACTCCATGCCTTTAATCCGAGTGTCCTCAGGCCTAGCCTCAGCAAGAATCAATCACACACTCTAGACTCAGCTACCTTGGAAACAGCCTATGATGGGGGGGGGGGCATGGACATCTAGATATAAATTGTAACAATGTCAAAGTGAAGAAATATGGCAATGCCTTTAGCCAAGAGACATCAAAGGGAGGGTCCAGTGGATACCATACACCTCCAGAATCTGTGTTGTTTTCAGGGTATCTTGTCACCTAGGCAGTATTACAGCCAAGAGTACATAATCACCGTCTCATCTCATACTACCAGGAAGGAGAGGGGGGTACACAGCCCTATGTTCCTTTGAGTGGAAGGAGTCAAAATTATCAGTATCAGCTGAGTGTGGTGGTGCACACCTGTAATCCCAGCACACAGGAGGCTGAGGCAGGAGGATGGCTGTGCTGTGAGTTCAAGACCACCTGGGCTGCATAGTGAGTTCCAGGTCAGTTTCAATTACATAGTGAGACCCTGTCTCAAAAAAAACCAAAAAAAAAATCAGAATCATTTAAAAAAAAAAAAAAGAGGGCCAGGGATTTATTTCAGTGGTGCCTCCGCCTGCCTCGCAAGGTCCGGCAGTTCAATCCCCAGTACCATATAAATAAATAAATGAATGAATGAAGAAAGAAAGATAAAGAAAGGTGGTAGAGGCCAGAAGTGGTCTGGGAGTTCAATCCCCAGAGAGAGAG